AAACTAAAAATAGAGAAAAAGGAAATATATTTTCGTCATTTGGTGGTCTTTTATTTCCAAAAATATCTTGTACAAGCAGCAATTTGTACTTTATGAAAATGGTGTTATAGCTGAAAGTACTGTCAGTAAGTGGTTCACTAGGTTCCAAAATGGAAATTTTGATCAGGAAGACCGACAACGTTCCGGCAGGACTGAAGTCGAAAAAAGAGAGAAGTTTTACCTGGAAGACCGAGCTAAAAAAAACTTTGGATGCTTCAGTCGCTACGATGATTAGTTGTTTCACGATTTAACGGAAGAGAATTTAATGAACATCATTTTCCATCTTTGGTCCTCTGCTCAAGTGCAACAAAAATGACACATTTAAAGGAAAATTTTACAAGTGATGAAAGACGGATTGTTTACAAAAATATGGACCAGAAAAGGTTCTAGGGAAACGATCTTCATCCGAAAAGGGTATTTGGTGGGATTGGAAGAATATTCTGTATTACAAGCTTCTTTCGCTTAATCAAACGTTGAATTTCCAACTTTTCAACTTGGCCATTGAAAAGGAGCAATCGATAAAAAGCGTCCCGAATTCACCTATCGAATGGGTTTCGTCTTCCAAGACAACACCGAATTCTGTCTGTTTACACACTGGAAGAAATTGGGGTGCCTGACTGTACTCGCCGTACTTAGTTAACCTTGCCTCTTCAGATTACCACTTTTTTCCATCCCGACGAAATTCTCTGAATGGGAAGAACAGCAATGATTTATAACACTATAAAAAATCACTTAGATTATTTCATCACCCACAAAGATGTCAATGTCTGGGAGCGTTGAGGCCACCTCAAAGATGACGAAACATAGGAGAACAATATGGCACATGTTATGTACAAAATCGTAAAGATTGTCTTCGAAATTCGCTTAAAATGCTACGAACCTTTGTTCCTGCCTAATAAAGTTGATATTTTTATACCTTTCTCATTCACCATATTTTTATATATATAAAGATTTAGTTGTTACGGCAAAATGATTCTAATTATTCTACTAAACAATTCGCTGGTAATTAATCACTTCGATAAAATTATGCTAACTACCTTCACACAAAATACTCTGAAATTCTTAATTATAAAATTAGCCATTAAATGTAATTGGCTTGCTCTTTTCTTATCTTGTCGGTTGCCGAAATCCATGTGTTCAGCTTTTTAATTTCAAATTCGATGCTAAAATGATTTTATTTGAATCACATATTTCTAATTTTAGATTTAGATTTCTTTCACAAATTAAGTATTCTGGCGCCAGCGTTCGATGGTCGAACGTACAAAAGAAACAAGGAATATTTTATAAGTTCCTCCTGATTTGTAAAACAACACAATTTTCTAATAGCCTAGTTTTTGATAACATTCATCTTCTTTTGGACTACCAAGGGAGTAAATAACTATGTACAAAGTTGAAAAGTTCAGGCAGCATTAAACAGGGAAATATTCCTTTCAAACCATCCTTCAAAATAAACTTCTTCAATTGTGAGTAATAGCCAGACTTCCAAAAAATTTACTTTAAAAAATGACCACAAAATCAACTCTGTTACATAGGTTCCTATCATGATATCTTCCTCCAGGGTAAAAGCGTTGATTGCCATTTTCAGTTTTGCTTGTGATTCACCCATATCCAAATTTTCAAAGTTTCAAAATAAAAATAATTTAATTTCTACTATCTTCAAGTCATAAAATGCGCCTGTTCATTTATGCAAGTTAAACAATACTGTTTATTAGATATTCATTTTAATAAGGGGAAAGTCCATTTCCTGTAATCATTATTTCGGCGTAAAATTCTGTGGATATATCATTATTCCAAACATGTTAGCTCGCAGAGAACTGTTACTAAATATTTTCTTATCTTTTAAGTGATACTTTGCTACTTTTATGTAACAGTCATATTCACCTGTCACGAATGCAAATATTATTTCTGTCTTGCATAATCTCCAAATAGGGAACAAAATTGAGACGTCAAGTATACAAGACATTTTTTTTATTTCGTAAAATGATTGAAATATTATTATGCAAGTCACTGACTTCACATTAACATTAGTATTAACGAACATGTGATAGTAAAATTTTCACAATATCCTGTATTGTTATATGTCAAATACACTATGTTAATTTCAGTTTGTTTTGTTAGAAATATTTACAATAACTTATATGCTACTGCGATATTTTATTATAAACTCGATGTTTAACATATTGTCAGCAGATATAATACGTATTTATTTTTTTAAATTAATGATTACTATGAGTTGTAAAACGATAAATCCCCAAAGGAGAAACAAGATATTGTATAGTTATTGAGTAATGGGAAACACTATTGAAAAATGCGAAAAAGTTGAACAGAGATCAAAGAACTGAAAAATGAAGTTGAAAACATTAACAAGATAAGAACAAAAACTGGCTTAAAATTTTAAATAAAAAAGATTCTAGGAAAGTTAAAATGGTAAAAAACAAATTAATTGACCAGCAAGAAAAGAAGATGATGTTGATAATGTAAAAAGAAAATATGTGGAATATTAATTATAATGTAATTTTTTAGCTAGTGAAACTATAGTTCCGTTCAAAATTGATAATATCAAAATGAATATAGAGAATTATTGCAACTCCTTGGACAAAAAGGCTTTAGAGTGTTGCCGATCACAACCAAGAATATGCATATATTTGTGCGAGACAACCTTGCAGAAAAACAGTCGAAATACTATAGACTGTTAAGTTTGTCTATTGACATTTGAAATATATAAGGTACTAGCAGTAGAGCCCGGCGTTACCCGGGGATGTAACAGTAAGATTTGGGGCTGTTGCTTTGATAGATGTTCTTTGTAAGTCGACAGGAACTAAGTTTCTACAAAACGTTGAAACGCAATGCACACAAAGTTTAAGCAGACATCATTCAGGCCCAAGTATTCGAAGGTATCGAAGGAAGTAACGGAAAGCCGTTGTAGCATCAGGCATTTACCATTACTAAGACATCTGTGAGTAAAAGCTGGCAGCAGTTACTGCTTTAACCAGTTGGACCGTTAAGCATTACTAGAAGCAAGTAGTCAAGAAACCACGATTCAGTTGCAACATACATAGGGATTGAAGGGAAAACGTGCCGTGAGGAAGGCATAGACATAAAGTATGTGCTGTGCGCAATCACAAGCAAATCGCTTGTCTAACTAAAAGACGCGTCTTATGCCCAAAAGACGGTGCTGCCACGACCACGAAGCAGAACCGTAAAACCGAGAGAATAGCGAACAGTGACGGGGTGTCATGGTAAGAAACTTTATGTGATATAACTTTCTTTATTTTGATCTGTCACTATCTACATCGTGGCTGAGAGCCCTTAAAACCGCAACGGGGGTAGCCGTAAGGTCGAGCATCGTAATTGAAATGGAGAAGTGCCTTCTCTTCAGTTACAGTCAACATCACGGCTGAGAGCCCATGAAACCGGACCGGGGGTCGCCGTATGGCCGAGCGCCTCAATTGCAATGGAGAAGTGCCTTCTCTCAGTCGCAGTAAACATCACGGCTGAGAGCTTATGAAAACCGACTGGGGTCGCCGTACTTGGCGTGTGTATTTTAGGTTTTTTACACGACTACAAACAAAACAATAGAGCCGTATGGCTGACATGTTTCACCCATGGCAGCCGTAAAGTGTATATGGAAGCAGAAGCCTGAATTTCGTAGACGCACTCGACTTTTGTAACAATTAAACGAACTCCGAAGCTTCTCAAGTGTGAATGTGCTTGTATGCACTGGTACGAACTACAGGTGCTCCGATCAACTGTTAATGAAACCGGAACTTTAGTGGAGCAATCATGTCTAATGCAGGTGTTCATGTGTCTAGCAGCTTGTGTTGCAAATGAATACGGTGAGGTTATCATAGTGTACAAATAAACGCGATGATGGTGGGTGAAGGTATGAAAGTCAGAAGGCAACAAAAGAGCTGGATAACCTTTACAAAGATGTCTTAGTAATGGCAAGTGGAGACTACGATGACCTAACGTTAAAACCAATATGACAAACAAAAAATTGGCATGCAATCGGACTGCATATGTGTGCATGGCGCTTAAACGCTACCGGGCGGGTTGTCTACAGGACCTCCGTGCAGGTTTTGTTTCTAGCACAGTTGTTGGGAGAATAAATGAAAACCCTGTCCTTAGACCCAACTCGTGAGCACCTAACGTAAAGTTGGCCGAGAGAGAAGCACTGCTCATGTAAATGCAGACCTGCGATGCTAAGCGTCTGTCCTTGTGATTTGTTAATCGACATAGCAAAGCAAAGCTTCACGGGAAATTGTGAGCGACGAAAGTTGATTGGTATGCTTGCGTCTTACGGCAGAAGATGCATCCTGGGAATCAGAACGACTTCCTCCTTGCCGCAGCCAGTTGCAATGGTCGCCTCAATCAGGTTCGGAGAAAGGGATTTAATAATGAGGCGAGCACCGTTGCACTGTTTAGGTGGGAGCAAATTCCTGATTAGCATAATCGGAGCACCAACTTTGATCCGAAGAATATGAGGTGGGAGTCCGGACGGCTGAAGGGAGTTCAAAACTTCTATGAGATACTCAGCTAATTCAGATGGATCGGAAGTTCTGTCGATGGACTTATAAACATGACATTGCCCGGGAATGCAATCCAACAGTTTAAGGTTGATGGAATCAAGTGTACAGTTCTTCGGTGCCAATATGGCATCGGCATCTGCAAAATTAGTGGATAGGTTGTAGAAGACAGCATTCATCAATTCATCCGGTGATTCAACAGTGGTGGCAAGCTGATCCATCTGCACAAAACCCTGTGTGTCAGATGGCATTTTCCCCTCCCCAAGAGCAAGAAGGTCCAGTGAGAAGTCAGTGGATCTGGAGTCCCCATTCAAGTAGACACGCATGTTCGTGCTCAGTTTAAGAGTCTCCACGTGGCGCCAAAGGGCAGACGACTTCAGGCAGGCAGGGACAGCGTCAGTGCGTGTACCTTTAAGAATAACAGGTAGAGTCTGCCTAAAGTCGCCTCACCGGAGAAGGGTTACTCCACCCATATGGGGTCGGAGGAGTCGCTATAAGTTTGCATCTCCGCAGAACTTCAGCCTGTGGCGACTTCTTTGTTTTGTTGCATAGAGGAGTTTGTGACCGGCATAGAACAAGCGGCAACCTAAAAGCCGAATAAGCGGTTCTACCTCCCGGTAGCAACGTTGCAGAAATCCCGGAAGATGCGACCGCAATAGCGATCTCCCCACGACGCCGTAACTCTGCCAGGACTAATTTAGTAACAAAAGTTTTGCCCGTTCCTCCCGGCACAACTAAAAAGTATATACCTCCACTGGAGCCGTTTGTCCTGTCTGTTATGGTAGTGAAAGCCACCCTCTGATCAGGTAGAAGTTTCGGCTCGTTTTCGGTAATGTATGCGTTCAGCCCCTCGATGTAGTAGGATGTTTCCCGCAATAACTCAAAACCGTCTCTGAGCGGTGGCGGTAAACCGTAAGTTGGTAAAGTGGCAACTCCCAGTTCGAAAACAACATCTTCTAGGGCCACCAGCGCTCTGTTGAATATGAAGTCAGTGAAACTGCATTCAACTCCTGGGCTGTTACGCTGAACGGAGAACAGAACATCCTCTGACATGGATTCTCTGTACTTTAGCCTGAGCGACAGAGGATCGCTTAGTTCGCATCGCAAAAGCAAAATGGCGAATAGCGTTCGAAGCCGTGATGGCGTTCTGAGAAGTTCAGCCTCCGCCATGTCTGCATCCCATTGGGAGTCGTCTTCAAGGAATCCCAAACGGAAGCATGCCTCTCTATAAGACTGGCATTCTATGCCTTTGACAGTGCGAATATCTGTGAAACTCGTTGGCCCAGCAATTTCATGAAGTAGAAGGTGGAGGTAAAAGCACTCCTGCTGGCTGCGGGGGTGGGGCACAGTATAAACGCGTCCAAGGCAAGAGTTAGACCTTGCATCGGGATAACCCTCGACAGGGTCGCCGGCCTTTCGCCGAACCCACTGGTTGTTTGACCACATTTAGTGGGCGTTTTGTTCGGTGAAGTACATCTTCTGTCCATTTACTAAGTGAACAACAAGCTGCACAATGGCTGGAGCCCTTTGGTGTATGGGGAATTCGAAAATTCGCCAAAAGGCATCGCTACTACTGAGGTAGCGTCCAGCCACGTTATCGGCCACCTTCGTCAACGCGATTATCGCGCGAGATAACGAAAACGGCAGCATCGCTGCCTTTATTAACGTACTTGCAGATGTACTCTATTGACTTAACCGAGTGGCAGTATTCAATGTTTATGTGGGCTCCAAAAGTCTTGGACAGCAGCGGGCAATAAGGCACCACCCAACGATTGTCCAGAGTGTGTCCCTTAACTATCACAGTTCTGCCGCCCTCAGCGGGGCTTGTACGTCTCTACAGTGGGTAACCATCAGTCGAAGTCTGCGTTCCTGAGATAAACCTACGGGGGTAACCCTTTGCGCAAGTGGGGCCGCTTGATCAACATGACCTTTTTTCGTAATTCGCGCCACAGGGGCCGTGTATCATATTGTTTTTAATGATTTCGTGGAGCGCTAGATCCGGAATTTCAGCAGGAAAAAAATCGTCTATTTTGTTTGCGTCAACCTTATCGTTGAGCCACAGCAGGATGTGAGCATGAGGCAAACCGCGTTTCTGCCATTCCACTGTATACATATGACACTTAACGCGTCCGAAGACTTGCCCTTTAAGGATTAAATCCATAAGCTTACGCAGCTGTAACCGGAAAACGCGGTCAATTAGGTCTGGGCGGTGTGAGTACTGCTGACCTGAAAAAAGTTCGCGTGTGATTTCAACCCATTTTGGATTGCACGTGAACGTGACAAACAAATCAGGCCTCCTGTAATGACGGACATAGGTCATTGCGTCTTGTGTCCTTTCATGCATGTATCGAGGGCCACCAGTATAAGAGGAAGGCAAAATGCACGGTTTGCCGAGATTGCGTGGGTCACCATCAGAACGCAGACCATCACGAAGGTGAATGTACGAGTCGGTTCTAAATTTGGATTGGTTTAACTTGATGAATCCTAACCTCTCCGACTCCATTTTTGCAGCCATGTCAACAGCGAATTGAAGAAATAGTTGACGGCACCTGTGCAAGTGGTTAAATTCGCCCACCCTAACCTACATGTAGGCGTAGTAAGCCCTACAGGAGATCGTCTTTGAGGTCGACATGGAATAGCTGCTTGCCTCGTATATTAGGATTTTGAAGTGGTACCCATCGCTTCCGTATGGAAAAAGAAGGGGGTACTGGAGACAGTCGTATGAACGGTGGGTTTCACTGATGCGGCAAAATTTAAGCTTCGGATGTAACTGTTAGTTTCGTGAAGCATGTCTTGTAGACGGAACAGAATGTCTCTACGGGGACCGACGGAAATATCGCTAGGTAGAATGCCGAGACGCGCATCAACCTGCTCGTTGTAGTCAGCGAGAGAATAAATTTGTAGGAACTGAGGTGGCTCTCCCTGATCAGCCAAAAGTGATCCCATTAAGTGGTAAACCTGGACTGGCACTTTGAAAGTAGGCATCCATCCCCCCTCACTAATAGCCTTCGCACCAAAAGATGTCATCTGGAAGCAACAGTTTTACTTCCGTATTGCTTCAAGAAAATACGTTGACTCCGAAGTTGTACCCAGAAGGAGGTCCCTAAGCGGCTGGGGAGGTTCGTCTAAAGAAGGGAGTTTGATTTTGCTCACCGCCCCACTTTTGCATTGCAAAAAGGGCAAACTTTATCCATGGCCCCTATTTGTACGTATCTCCTTGCGGAATAGTTAACAGTGCAGTCATAATTGCATTTGACCAAAATGACGCAGACGGCGAAGTTACGCCATTCAAAGAAGCTCGAAGTTGCTAATGTTTTCGAGCAGTTGACGGCGTACTTCAGAGTTTTCTGCAGCCCTGGAAGACGCAGTAGAGCGGGCATTTCTAACGCGACGAACAGTGATTTGTGCAGGGCTCTAGCAGATGCAGTAGAGCGGGCATTTCTAACGCGACGAACACTGGTCTGTGCAGGGCTCTCTAGGGCTTTAGCAGATGCGGTGGAGCGGACATTTATATCGCGACGAACAGTGGTCTGTGCGGGGCTTTCTAGGGCTCAAGCAGATGCAGTGGATAGGGCATTTCTAAAGCGACGATGAGCGGTTTCTTGGGGTTGTTCCGAAGCTCTAGAGGCGGCTGTAGCCCTAGTATTCATAAGACGACGTGAAGTTGTTTATTCGGGGCTTTCTAAACCCCTGGAGCAAGCTTTGGCGGTGGAATCCCGCAAATGACGAAGGGTTTTCTGTGCTGGGGACTGTGAAGCCCTCAACCTTGCCACGCAGACTGTGCCCTGTGAATTCTGAAGTGATTCTTCAACTGAAAGCCTGGCGCGGCGTGCGGACATGGTTGAAGCCGTTGAAGCCAACCTTTCAGTCCGCGCAGCGGCGCTTTCCGTAGATAAGCGAGCAGCTGATCTCGAGGCCATCGGTGAAAGACGCAAAGAAGTCTCTTCAGGGGTTTCACTCCCCCTCGCTGCTCTAGCATCGGAGACAGCTGCCGTTAGCCGTTCCAAAAGTTTCAGGTGGCATCCAAACAGTAAAAACGTCAAAGAGGGTAAAGCTTAAAAAGAGATTTCGACAAATCCAAAACGAAAAAACTTGAACTGCTAACGTAGACACAAAAAGGGGAACACCCAGTAAAATGAGTTCAGATGTTACTAAAGGGGAACTGTAAACAATAAAAGTGGAAATTTAAAAAGGTAAACCAAGGGTAAATCCAAAAGGAAATGGGTTTTTAATACAATTGGCTAACGTGTGTGGGATTCGGTTGGAAGTATAAAACAAAAAAGCAGCTAGAACACGTAATCAACAACTTGCGGTGTCCGAAGTAGGCGAATAAAGTAAGCCAAGTGCGTGCACGCGGGCAACAATAAACGCAAACGTGTGAAAGCACGCCCGAGTCACGCAATAGAGGTGGTTGACCTTGAGCGCACTTACACATAAGCTGACCCGCGATCACGCGGGCGCTATAACGTGTGAGAAATCCTGCGCGATGATTGGACAGGCCCCAAGGTCAAGCTCTGTGAAAGCGACCAACGGGCTTGCAGCAGTCTCGGTATCAACACGCGGACTCGGTTGGACGCAGCTGTGTGTGTGTAAGGAAGTTACAAAAAAGATTAATCCGCGTGCAGCTACGATTATTTTTGCTGAAATTTGACACCCATGAAGGCGATACTAAGCCGCAAGTGTGTCGTAAATTTCATTTGAATCAAACCAAAAACTGTACATATTGTGCCAGTGAATGTGTTTTTAGAGGGCTAAGTCCTGTCCTTTGGTACACCCTTTTATGGTTCCCTGGTCAAGTCTGCAATTTATAACAATAAATCATTTATTTTGACTGTTCTTTTTATTTTAATAGTTATATTCTTATATACAATTAGGCACACGTGAGTTAAAGAAATATGATTATCTTGTATTTTTAATAAACTTCACACGGGCAAAATGAACAATACTATATTTCTTTGGTTTTGATGTTTTATTCTGCGTGACTTTTTCTTAAATTGTATTTAGTCTGAATTTTGAAGAAAGCTGTATAAAGTTTACCAAAAAAATTTAGATTGCATTTTTCACTAGGTAAAATTATTAAAAGGTTAAAATATAATTTAGAAAAATGTTAAATGTTAAAGCAAACCCTTCGCCAAATAGAAAAATAGGAAGAATAGTATTGTCGCATTTTTTGTTAATTCAATTTTTATTCACTCGCTTTTATAGCTAAAGAATTACATGAAGCATTTAATAATGTTCTATTACTTCTACTACTTTAAAGTGATAGGATGTTCAAACTCTGCATAACATTGCCTAATAGTTTCTAATGACATACATTCTAGCCTCATGTATTTTTTGCCTGAATTTTTGGGATGTTGTCATAATTTACACTATCTATATTTGTAATATTGTCCTTATTCTTGTTGTTGTTGTTGTTGTCATCACAGCGTTTCAGCCGTTGTGCCCTCCAGTCTTCTTCAAGTGTATATCGATCTGGTTTCCACTGAGAGCAAAGTACACACTCTCCGAGATTGAACTCGCAACCACTATTTCAGCAAATTCACAAACCAACGCTTTTACCTACTAGGGACAATTGCTAGAGAAAACATAGAGCTTGGTTTTGCGACATAGTGGTTGTAGGTTCAGTCCCTGGGTCGGTCAATGTATATTTGCACTCAATGAAAACGGGCGAGCAATAGTACTAAATAAAATAATAACTAGACGATATCCCGAGATATGATCAGTGAAACGAGAACAATTTACTCTCGTAGATTAAATAAAAGGTTCAATTCGGAATTCTCTGCAGATCACTCAAAATTTAGATAGTGTAAGTAGCCGCATGTAATGTTGTTTAAATTAATTTATTACAGTTAAATGACAAGCGTTTTCTTTTTATTCCAACAAAATCTTTAATATATCATTGTGTTGTAAAATAATGTATGAAAATCCGGTAGGTTACCATTTACTAACTGAAATTGACAATAGTATAATTAATACTTTTACATGGCGAACAAATGCTATACTACCACTCCTTAATTATTCACCTTTCTAAGGAAGAGATAAGAATTCATGCAAATCAAAAATGAAAATTAACTATGGGATATAAAAACTTATGGAAAGCTTACATTATGTATCCTCATGTAAATATGTTTCGGAGTTCCATTTTTGAAATTAAAGGGATTTTCTCTTCAAATGTATTTTACTGATTCAGAGTAAAACATCAAGAAAATTTAAGCTATGAATTTTTTAATTATACCATAGAATGGATGTCAGACCTTTCAATGTTTGAAATTATCGTATATATATATATATATATATATATATATATATATATATATATATATATATATATATATATATTGTCACGTAGCAACGATTTCATTAACCATATAGGCGTTAGGCTAAAGTAAAATCTTAAATAAAGAGAAAAACTAGTTAGATATAAAAAAAAGATAAATAAATAGATAAAAAAAAAAATTTAATCAATGCTTCCGATTCGCGAGCGAATATATTCTATGATCAATATACCCCCTCTTCTCTTCACAAATTCTTTCTCTCCTTATCCTCTCTTCCACCCGCCAGCCAAGGGCCCTTGAACTTAGAAGTGACCCGACGCGAGGATAACCTGGTTCTAAGATTTCGCGTTTGACCATGAGTGAACTCCAGACACCATCAGGGTCTCATGCTGCGATTCACGTGATCGGGACGTACGGAGCATGCGTTGAACTTTTGGCCATCACATAAGCACTGCGTGATTTGCGCCCTATTCTCCTGCGTACCCGGTCAAGGACGAAGGGAACCCACGTGACTGTATGTGGGGACAGCGAAAACCAAAGAAGGATTTTTCAGTTTCCCTCTGACCAGCGGCAGTTGAACATCGCTGGGTAAAAATCGTCAGACCGCCCACTGAGATGAGGAAGACCACGAAGTCTATCGACTAGTGATTGAAGGGCTGCTATGGAACCCAACCCAACCAAATGCCTGTATGAAATGCTGGGGACCCACGAACACTTGCGAAAAGAAGAAGAATCCAGGAACATTGTCGGCCGGCCAAGATACTGATTTATCATCAGAACTCTCGCTTCGGCGAATCAAAACTTTATGTGAAGATACCAGCCCGACTGCAAGATAAGTTGGTTCTTTGGCTCGATCTATTTTCATATGTGTATGTATTCGCTCGCGCCTTCTATTCTTTACTGATGTCCTCCCCTTTGTTAAATGAATGTTCTTTTTTTTTCTTTCTTTGTTTCGTTATATATATACTTAAATAAATGTTTAATTTTGAAATCCATCGTCTTGCGTCTGTTCTTCGTTGATTCCCTTGTGTCGCTTCCATTTCTGAGTGAAGACCGAGAAAAAGAAACCACGTTTTCCTTTTTTTAGAACCCGTGGTTCATCTATATGCTACAAGTTCGTAACATATAAAATTGGGGCCTCGTTCCGAGAATCTTTTCTCCTGTTTTTTTCACTCAGTAAGAATCGCACAGCTTCAGGGTATCGGCGAACTACAGGCCAAGATGTCAGTTATAGATAGTTTTCTCGCATCGCCCTCTATGGAAAAATTATGTAAGCTTAAGAAGGATGATATAGTTGAAATAGGGAAGGAATTAGAACTAGAGGTAACGAAATCTATGAGGAAAACTCAGCTAGTCAGGATAGTCTCTGAGCATATGGTAGATAACGACGTTTTCGACGTAGAAGAATTAAGTAAATTATCACTAGACACGTCGAACTTTCGCAGGCATAACTCGAGCTCGAGAAAGTGAAAATTGAGGCCGAGGCTAAGGTCAGAGCCGAAGCTGAAAGAGCAAAGGCTGAAATAGCAAAAGCTAGAATCGAGCAAGAAACTAGATTTCGGGAGTTAGACGAAAAGCGGGAACTTCACGAAGCTAGAAGTAGTGAGTTCGACTTAGCGAAGCAAGTCCGACTCGTACCCGCAGTTTAACGAGGCTGACGTCGACAAATATTTTCAGCATTTCGAAAAGGTCGCCTCAAACCTAGCATGGCCCATAGAAACGTGGCCAATTTTACTGCAGACCGCACTAAAAGGCAAAGCTCAAGAAGCGTATGCCGCGCTCTCTGTAGCAGATTGCGCTGAATATAGCATTGTGAAATCGGCCATTTTAAAGTCGTATGAGCTTGTGCCGGAGGCATACCGGCAAAAATTTAGAGCCTGCCGAAAGGGAGACAAACAGACTTATGTAGAATTTTCTAGACAAAAAGAAACCTATTTCGATAGATGGAGTTTATCGAAAAACATCGAGGCAGATCACGATAGGCTAAGGCAAATGATCCTGATAGAGGAGTTCAAAGAATGTGTCCCTGATAATTTGAAAACCTACCTCGATGAAAAAAGGGTAGATACTTTATATGAGATGGCCACCCTCGCTGACGAATACGCGTTAACACATAAGCGGGGTACATTCAATCATAACAACCCATCCGAATTTGGAAGCGGTCCACACCCAAGACGTGGGTCTGGTTATGGTCCGAATTCGAAGTTTGGTCGATCGGTTAGTTCAGGCCAACCGCCCAGTCCGAAAGATACCAAATCTCAAAATCCCAGTTCTCCGTCACCGGATTATCGGCAGACGAATAGGAGAGAGGAAACTCCCGATGTGCCACTACTGCAATAAAGTAGGACACCTCGTGTCGAATTGTTGGACGAAGCGGAATGCCGAGTCCAGAGCCCTAAGTCAAGAGAGACCCCAAGGGCTAATTTCTTCCGACAGCGTTATTCTAAATAGGAAACCGAATGAAGATGTGAGGGAGGAGTATAGGCCATTTGTTTCTAATGGTGCTGTATCCCCCGTTGGTAACCCCACGAAGAAGAAATCCGTGAAGATCTTGCGGGACACTGGGGCGACCCAGTCCCTGATTGTGGAGAGCTTCGTGCCGTGTGGATCGGATTCGGCCACTGGCGAATCTGTTATCATACAGG